CAGGAGAAGATGTCCACAAACAGCATGCTTCACTGTCTGTACGTCTGGTCTGCCTGTGTGGTCAGACCTTCCTCACTCGCTTGTTTTGTGTGGGTCAAGCTCTCGAGGAAGGGAGTCACATCCTCCCGCCTTCCCTTCTCACTAACTGGGGAACGCTCTGGGATATTGTGTGTCCTTGATGATTGAGACTGTGGATTGTATTTCAGTATTTTGCTTCACAGAAATGCCATTTTTTTCCACTACAGGACACAGGTTATGTCAGATAAGGTGAGAGAAGGCAAATAATAGGCTGTTATTTTGGTTTGGATTCACTGAACCTTCCTTGGATTACGATGAAAGGAGGTGAGGACATACATCAAGAAAGGTTAAGCTTAGCCTATAGTGTTTTTTGAATGGTAGGTGCCTGAAATAAGGTCTGTGGTTAACACAAGCTTTGTTTTGTTATATGAAATAAAATATGTCAGTAAATACCCCACCCCAAAACTGTGAAGCTTATATATTTTTTTCCTTTTAAAAATTGGGATACAAGTGATCAGTGTGAAAACAACAAAATAATAAAGCACAAAACAGGGGGCTACAGGCAAACAAACCAGTGATACAAAAAACGAACACAAAAGGAACAACAGAAGAAAAATGGACAAATAATTAAATGCATTAATTATGATGATCAAAAGTTGGCTTTAGATTTTCTTGTTGAAGTTTGTAGAAGTGTTTGTGTATTCTGTGTGTAAGAGGTTAGAGAGAGCATAATGAAGAAACTACAATAGGTATGAGAAGATATATGGAAAGAAAGAAAGAAAAGAAAGAAAAAGGGAAAAAAGAAGAAAGGGAGATGGAAAGAAGAAAAAAATTAAAAATAAGATAAAAACAAACAAAAAAATTGAAACTTCTACGTGTCTTTAAAAAAGGCAGTTGCTAACAAGTAGATAAATGAGACTGCAGAACGTTATCACGCCAAGGCGAACTGAACACAACTTTACAATCTTGATATGGTGGTGACATTCGGTCAAGTGACCGTAGTGTAATTTGTTCATAACCTAAGTTAGCTTTTTACTTCTGGTGACTGCATTTAAACTTCAAAAATAATAAAAGTGTTTGTTTTTTTTTGTTTTTTTTTTTTAAATTTATTTATTTATTTTTTTCTTTTTCTCAATGTTTAAACTCAGGCCACAGGGGGTGGGGGGGTGGGGGTAAAGAGTAGGGTTTAAACTATTGTTTGGATTATAGGAGGATAAGTGAAGGTATATTTACATTTTGAGTATTGCTCCAATTTATTTTTGTATTGCTATTCATCTAATTTACATAAATACACTATATGCTTAATGTATTTGTAGATACCCTCAAGTACAGATGTAGATATGGCATGTATTGTCAATACTGTATTTTTCAGTTGTAGTGTTTCCTCCATGATGAAAACAAAAAGAAAAAAACAATAAAAAATTTGGTCACAAAAAAAATAATAATAAAAGTGATGGTCATGTGCAGTAATCTAAAATCCAACGGAAAAATCCCATAGGCTTTTTGATAAGGGAACAAGTGCGATGCTAACTTTCTCGTCGGCCTTCAAAAGGACATCATCCCTGGTTTACTCTATGGTCCAGCTCATGACCCCATGTAAAACCACAACGTTCTTACACATCAGTATTTTGTATAATTAAATAAACACAAGTGTGCATGCAAATTGGTGAGCTTTAGAGGTGCTGGTAGGCTGATTTTGTAACTTGTGGACAAGGCCAAGCAAATTTTTACCTCTGTTTCCAGCCTGTTAGCTAAGCTAAGCTAATGCGGCTGCTAGCTCTGGCTTTATATTTGAGGGTCACATATATTTGTTGTAAGAATTGTTGCGTTTTTGTTACCGTAGACTGAGCCGTTTATAGAGGGCAGACAGGGCCATTCACACTTTCACATTTTCGCATCAGATACCATAATTCTCCTACACTATGAGTCACATTCTCCCATTTACACACTGGTGGCTGGGGCTATCATACACGGTGCCATCTGCTACTCAGTAACCATTCACATGCTCTCACACACTGATGGAACAGCCATTGGGAGCAATTTGGGGTACCATATCTTGCCCAAGGACAGGAGTTGGGGTTTAAGCTGCTGACCTTCCAATTGGTGGATGACCCGCTCAACCTCCTGTGTGAACATATTTCCTAAATTGTTGATCTATTCCTTTAGCACAAAGCTCCCACAGTGAGTGATGCAGCATTTGGAATGTGATGAGAGCTGAATGAAACAATATCCTTCGGACAAACAGATGTTTACAATTTATCTGCTCTCAGTCCTCCTCGTGGGAGACAAACAGTGTACACAGTCTTGCTCACAGAAAGGGACGGAGACGTGAGCTCTGCCTCCCCTCAGAGAGCCGTCACTCCCATCACCACTCTCACAGCTGCGGTCTTGTTTTGCAGACAGTCAAGGTCTCCAAGCTGTTTGGTAGCCGTGTGTCCCGAGAGATAAAGCCAAGTCTTTCTAATGACTGCAACATGTTACCAGTGAGGTATTGGTGGAACATTTCTTGGCAGGTACATCATCCTGATGCTCTCTTAGACAGCAGCGTGAGGTTATTTCTGTTCGTCTGTACTGTGGGAATCAGGACTTGTATTCAACAGCATGTCAGCATGTGTCATTTACATACTGTTGGACACAGTGTGGGGCTATTCGGACCCCATCTACGTCTTTTGAGTGTTGATTAAAAAACTATTGTGGACATTGTCGTATTGTTGAGAGCTGAGTAAAAACCTTCACCGCAGGAGCTTGTCGGGAGATTTTATCTGAGGCATTTTGGCACAACACAAGTGCACATTTCTCCGAATTATGTTACTGGGAGCTCTGGCTGTTTGTGGAAAGCAAAAATGCACCACAACAACATATTTTGGACATGACCTAAACTAAGAACATTTTGGGAGGAGGTGTTTGAGCAACCCAGTTGTGGGCAGTGACTTGGGGCATCAGCCACTGACGAAAAAAGCCGTCTTTGAATGTTGGCATGATAACTGGGGCGTCGGTGGCTTAGTGGTAGAGCAGGCGCCCCATGTACAAGGCTGTTGCCGCAGCGGCCCGGGTTCGAGTCCAGCCTGTGGCCCTTTGCTGCATGTCCTTCCCTCTCTCTCTCTCTCTCTCTCTCTCCCTTCAGGCTTGAGCTGTCCTATCCATTAAAGGCTAAAATGCCCAAAAAATATCTTTAAAAAAAATAAAATAAAAATGTTGGCATGATAACGGGGCTCAGCGGTGTCGGGACACACACGGTGGGACAAAGGCCATAAAAGTCTCAGTGGGGTTGCTGGGCCAGGTGGTGGATGGGTACAATGAACACCAACCTTCACCTGGGAGAGTGGTGTTAGCACCCCATAAGATTATAAAGCCAAACCCTGTTCTTTTTTCCTAAACTCAACCACGTGCGTTAGTTGTTGGAGGAAAACAAATGTCAATTTGCATTGCTGTACTGACATAGTGCATTTATTTTGAAAGAGACTGTATGTAAACAGTAAATTTCCTGTGAAAACAGAAGTGTATTTTGAAAACAGACAATGCATGTAATAGGCAGAACTTGACACTGCATCCCAGAACGTCAGCAAACAACGCACCCAGGGTACGTTTCACGTCGTATATGGACGTAAAAGGTCCTTGACCAAACGTCGATGTGTGACAAGGTCGGAGTGAGAATGTGTTGATGAGGCCCTTAAAGTGTTTCACCAAAATATCACAAACAATCCAAGGGTGGCACTGCAGGGAGTAACACTGGAAGGCACTGCTGAAGGAGCTTAAGAGTATCTTTTACAAATATTGATTACAGCAGCATTTGAATGCATCACAATGAAGTAGTTAGAACCTGATACCTCCTACATACAATATGGGCAGAGATGGTGTGATGCAGCAAAGCAGGACTCACACACACAGAACAAATCAGAGATTCAGTCTGGATTTTAAATGTTTCTTTTAGATACATTACAGGGCTGTGCTGCTGTGTGCAGACAGTGAAAAAAGGTGCAAATATTTCAGTCCATGTTGCAAAACCCTTAAAACATTTAAAATCAAGACTCAAGTCTGAGTTTTTTTGTTCTCTGAGAGTCCTCCCTTGCTGCAATACTTTCTCACTGACTACTACACCAGAGAAGAAGACAAAGGACTGTTTTTAAAGGGACAGTTCACCCCAAAATACACATTTTTCCTCTTACCTGTAGTGTTGCTTGTTGTGGTGGGAGTTGCCTTCTCTTCAATATAATGGAACTAGATGGCACTCAGCTTGTGGTGCTCAAAGCTTCAAATAAATACATTTGAAAAATTCAACAGCAATGTCTCTTTCCAGAAATCATGACCTGGTTACTCAAGATAATCCACAGACCTTGTTGTGAGCAGTTTCATGTAGGAATTATTTTCTTTCCACCAAACTACACCTGCCAACCACATCACTGCGCAGAAGGAAGTGTGCATCTACTCATGGATGAGAGGCTGGTGCTCGTGACAGATGTAAAGATGTAAATATTAATGCTGTCCTCCTTAGCTTAGCTGTAATGCTAGCTAGCTCAATGGTGCTACATCAACTAGCAGTAGACACACGCTTCCTTCTGTGTAGTGATACGGTTGCTGGGTTGTTCGGTGGAAAGAAAACAGTTCCTACATGAAACTGCTCACAAGAAGGTCTGTGGATTATCTTGAGTAATCAGGTCACGATTTCTTGAAAGATTTCAAATCTATTTTTTGGCACTTTGAGCACCACAAGCTGAGAGTCGTCTAGATTGATAAATGGCACAATAGGTGAGAGGAAAAATATGTATGTTTGATTTTGGGGTGAACTGTCCCTTTAAGAGACTATAGATAATATGGCGGAAATATTTTGCTGTTTTAAATATACAGATTAAAGGTTACTACGATCATCATGGAGATGTTTGTGCTGTTTTTTTGCTTCTAAAATCTGGTCAGAATTATTAGCAGTCTTCTATGAGGGGAAAAAATAACTGGATAAGACATAAAAGCCACTTCACACAACAAAATTAATTCAAATATTATATGAAACATTTTTATTAATAATCATAAAACGCAGGGGGGAAAAACATGAATTCCATTTGTTTCATTATAACATCTTAGGATAAAAGCACCAACACCGAACAGTAACAATTCATGAAAACCCAGGGCTTTTTGGAAAGTAGGTTTGCCGTTATTGCACCTCAAACCTGCCCTGGCTTCACCGATCAGAGATCACTGTACACATACTGCAGGTCACACGTGTCCTGTGTGTGAGGAGACTCCCCCAAACAGAGGACAGTGAACCTCTTTCTTTTGGAGACACAAATCTAGACAGAGGCATTTGTGAGATGAGGAAGATGCTGAAAGTTGTAGCCATTTCACAGCTTCTGGACTCGTAAAGCTTCATAAAGCTGGATTCCACTGGAGACGCCTGCGTGTATGTGACAGCGAGAATCTGAGACTTTTTAATTTGACCTCACTTGCTGAGAGGTGGTCTGGGTCCTGAGTTGGGTTAGAAAGGGACTTCATGATGTCACACGATGGTGAATAAATCTGTGACATGCAGTAGTTTTAAGAAAATTGTTTACATCGTTTCAAGCCATCTGGGAAGTTCCTGAGTTAAGACCTTTGGCAGGATTTAGAGTAAACAGCCTCGACTGCAAAGCTCTCACAGATTATTAATAATGTACCAGGATGGACGTTGACGGAGAACTGCATAGAAGCTTTGATTCAAATCACGCTCGTACGCCAAAGGACTTGAATAACAGCACCTCATCCCTTTGACTGATTACATAAGTAGCTACAAAACTGGTTGAAATCTGCAATGATCGTTAATGTTTTGTCATTCCCATGAGCTATTCTCACTGACACATACACACCGCACAGCAACTCCAGGTTAGAGAAATTTCCGTAGGTTAAACCGGACCGTCAGAAAGCCGCCAGGCAAGCTCGTGTTGAAGATTATTAAACCATAAAACCCTGCAGCACAACAGGAGAAGAGTAGTATTTATCAATAGCTGCAATTTCCTTGTTTTAAGTGAAGGATAGCACCGTGCTGTCTGTCTGACTAGTAGTATTAAAAACCGACAGGAATCTGAAGACACCATTAAAAGCATAACATGTAACTGCAATTGTATCAAACACCAAGAATAAGAAAATTAAAACAGCATCAACAATAATTACAAAAGACCTCTCAGTGCTGGTAACAAATAGACTATAGTCTCTAATTATGATCTAAAATGACTTCTCTTCTTTTCACGTGAACACTCACAGGTGAGACACACATGTGTGAGTGCACAGGACAGGAGTTTACAATAAAGCTTTGATTATTAGTCTAATCTTCCCTTAAGATATGCACCGGCAAGTAGGAAAAAGCACACACACACACAAACTGAGCTTACGTGTATTCCCACTATCTGAGAATAAAAGAAAGCTTGGCCGCTCTCACTCCCGTCAAAAGTGATGCACACACATCCTAACACAAGAGCTCTACGTCAGCGTGTCTCTGCAGTGACACGATACGCTCACATTACAAGGTAGGGCCTTGTCTGTGAGACAGCTAAAGACAGACAGTGTGTGTAAGAGGTTGACACGTAGTTCTGTATGCACCAGTGAAGATTTTTGTTTGTAAGATCTGAATTGCCATTGTTTGGAAACAGAAGCACCATTTTTTCCTGCAGGATCTGGGTTGGTACAAAATAAAAATAAACAAAAGAAAACATCTGATAAAAGTGAAGACAGTTCTAGTGCTGGAATCTGTTCAAGCCACAGCACCGTTGTCTGTCTGTGTTAAAATACACACAGCTTTGTGGTGTGTCACAAGGATCCAGGTGCTGTTGTGCCGCCATGTTGTTAGGCACCATCTGTTAAGGTCCTGTGGTGGCAATGCTTCACTCTCCTTGGCTTCAAGTCTCCTGTTTAACAGGTTGAGTTAAGGTCACAATGCCAGCGCCTCTATTCACTTATATATATATACTTATATATATATATATACTCATATATATAGACTGTATAGATACATATTTTATATACCTTTCTGTTTATGATGGAGAGACATACAAGGAAAAACAAAAACTTATATACAAAAACAGTGTGTCTTGTTCACTAACAGATAAGCAGCCGACTTCTGTTTTAAACCGTGGCGTGAGAAACAGAGTTCCTTGCACCTCTGAGCCAGCTGTTGCAGAGTAGTTTTATCGAAGGGTGGTGCCCACAGTTGTACACGAGGCATTCAGAGAACCAGACAATAGCATATTAAATATGAGAAAGGAAACGCCAGAAAATGGCTTTTACAAATGTCCCTGTGTACAGCACCAAGTATTCCATTTGTTTGTGATGTTTTCACGACAGAATAAATAAGATCAGGTACAGTCCAAAGTTAGCACCATTGTTTTCAGACTGTGAGTCAAGTACACACGCTATTGCATTCTACAACGTCAACACATTTCAGGATTAAAAAACAAAAGAGAAAAACAAATACCAAGGCAAATGGAGACACTGACAGCATAAATATAATAATCTAAATTATACACAACTATACAGTCGGAGAATGGATCACATTCACAGTACAGACATTGTTTACATAAAAACAAATTACACAATTAAAAAAAAAAAGAAAACAAAAAGGCGTGAAGAGAGTCCAGTAGTTTGTTGTGGTTATGGTTCATTGATTTCTCAGTGTGTGAGGAGGAGTTGCATGCATGAGTGTGTGCGTGTGTTTGTACTGACTGTATGCAGTGTAGTCCCACATACATGTGTCCACATTGTATTTGCTTACACCTGCGTGTCCTGACAGCAGACATAAATACGTTTAGTTTAAGAAGAGTTAAAAATTCCTGCTGTAAAGGGTATTTCGGCTGCGTTCCCACATGGTAGTGTGATTTAGCAAAATGACGGAAGAAGGAAATGTTAATAAATACACAAAGCGGCTGACAATGTCGACATAGCACCATCTCATTATGAATTTCATGGGCTCCTTTGAACAAATGAAATTGCACTCGGCTCGGAGTCATTGGCACCTGCTGAAATGTTGCTGATTCACCGTATTCTCAAATTAGTCTGAAATCAGATCATTGTTGTGTTCACACTTTAAAACACACTGATGTTCTTCAGTTCATTTAGAGAACGTTAAATCCGCCTGATTATTGTCACAAAACACTGAAAATATAATTTTTGACGTAAACAAAGAACCTTAACTGATATGTTTAATATCTGATATTAGAAAAACTATATTCATCACTCATAATGTGACTTTAACTGATTTTGCTCCAGTTAAAAAGACACAACCAGAACCATTTTCTGATTGTGGTACCACTTTGCTTTTCAGTTAAGAGACTCAATGCATAGTTCAGATATTTTGAAGTGGGGTTGTATGAGGTACATATCCACAGTCAGCGTCTTCCACACAGTAGAAGCCAAATGATACACCCTAAGTTTGGAGAAGCAGACAGGAGTACCACCACAAAAACGAAGCAATGTATTGCTGTGGATGGGGTCAGCAGCAAAACGTACTTAAGCCGCCTAAAAAAATCTTTATCAGTTAAAGGGCAAGCCAAAATCTCAAGGCACACCTGTATTCATATCTGTGCACAATAGCTTCTGTAACCTGTGTTACCACTCTTGTCACAACGTAAGACAATAAATACAGAAAAAAGAAGACAAGTAGCTTTTGTGATACTGTCTACTTTTTCTTTTCTTTCGGTGGTAGGTCGTCTTTGCCGGGGCTTTGTTGTAATTTTCTTTGCACAATAAAGCGCTTTCTCCTTTTAATTGTTATCATCCCTCACACTGGCTGCCATTCAGGGCTTCTGATATATCACACACTTAAAATTACCAAACCAAACCACACCAAACCAATGAACAAACAGTGACAAATAGGTTCCCTGTGACGGTTAGGTGAGGTGAAATTAAATTACATTTTTTTTGCCTCTTTATTGGGGAACGGCTGTGTACAACATACTGAAATAGCTGATTAAAATTTATTCATAACTTCCTGAAAAGGCCCAGTGGAATGCTGCAAAAATAATGTGAGGTTATCACAAAATCCCACGGCACACCTGGATTAGCATCACGTCACACTTGCGCACCACAGCACACCATTTGAGAAACACTGGCGTTCACTATATTTCCACTGCTTTACCTTGTCCTCAGATGGCCCTCTTCGATGGTTAACTAAAGTTGTTGTCTCTGCTCTCTTCAAAGCCACCACTCTCCTTTCACAAAAACACTAATTTTACCTCGCAGAACACAGGAGTTGCTGGTCTACTGCTGTCTCGATCACTCTGTTTGTGTTAATGTGTGACTTCGGTGACTCTCAACAAACCTTAAAACCGTGATTCCCAACTGGTCCAGCCACGGGATCCAGATTTCTCCCTAGTCATTAGTTCAAGGTCCACAAAAAATATTCAGCGTCATACTTGTGTTTGTCCATGTCATCAAGCTAGTTTGCAGTCTCTGTCAAGATGCTATCCGTCACTCACTCACTCTACAGCAGGAAACGGCACTTCAAAATGAATTCTCTATGCTAGAAATTCATTGTACTTGAAAATAGTGTTTTTTCAAACTTGACACGTTTGCGAGTCACTGGGAACCACAATCACTCAAGCAAACTACCTGACTGATGCAGCTGTAGACCAGCAGCTTCCGAGGTCTGTGAGGTAAAATTACTGTTTTTGTCAAAAGGAATCTTTGAATAGAGCAGCGATAATGGCTTCATTTACCTGTTGGAAATGGCTCTCTGACAGCAAGGTAAAGCCATTAAAATACCCTGAATATAGTATGAACTTAGAGTGATCTTGATTTTTTTAGGTAGCTTGAAAAGTTTTGCTGCTGCCACCATCCACAGAAGTACATTGCTTAGTTTCTGTGGCAGTGCTCCTGTCTGCTTCTCCAAACTAAGGGCGTGCCGACCAACATCTACTGTAGATAATACACCGACTATGGGTAAGTAGCTCACTCAACCCCACTTAAAAAATCCAAACTATCCCTTTAACAGGAAGTAAGGCATGTTTCATTTTGTTAAACATGAAAATATTGTAAATCACCAACATGAACAATTTGAAGGGCGTCAACAAGCCGGCCAGGAATAGCACATCTTCTGCTACATGAGTAACTGTATCTTAATATCCAGTGTGAAGTTAGACCAAAATACTAAGTTCCTCATCTTGACTCATACTCTAATATGTCGCAACAAATATTGAATTTAAGAGAAGGAAGAGAGCAGAGATAAGAGAGCATACATGCAGAGAGGCGAAACTGCATGACATCCGAGCAGAGTTCAATGAACTGGTCTGTGTGTGTGTTTCGAGTGTGTAGACACATGCACTCGTATGAGGTGAAACTTTGGAGGGAACGTGACACGTGATGAGATTCAGAAAAAGGTGGACTATGTGCTTCAATCTGTTCTTACAAGTTACATTAAATCATTCAGATTATTTTGCTAGTTGCTATAATAGTGACTAAGACAAAGAGACACACGGTCAAACTACTGAGCACCTTTAATTTAAACCAGACATCTTGATAATTAAGTTCATTCAATGCTGAGCAGCAGCCAGTACATTTTCACACTCTACACAGAAACATGACCAGTACCTATGAATTCTGCTCAAGGTGACCATAGTGGTGGTTAGTGTGTGTGTGTGTGTGTGTGTGTGTGTGTGTGTGTGTGTGTGTGTGTGAGTCTCAGAGATCCCAGTACAGAAGCCGGTCTTGGAGGCGGTTGGGTAGTGCAGACGTTACGAAGCACCAGTGAGTGAGGAGAGTGCCTTGGTCCACACCTGGACATTTGCATAGTTTATTTAGTTTTGAGGTAGTTTTCAACAATTACCTGAAACATCAGAGAAGACAGAAAGAGATGATGAGTGTTTCTGTGGGCGACAGAGTCTAAGCAGCAATTAAGGATGCACCGATTGTGAAACTCTGGGCCAATAATGTTAAAAATAACAATTTGGCCAGTGGCAGACACCTTTGTTTTGGTAGAGACAGAACTAACTATAGAACAAGCAAACAAGCACACAAACACACGCATGTACACACGTGTACAATCTATTTTGATTAAATAAACTGAAGAATATTTTCATCATCAATGTTACTATTATTGTTACAATAAATATACATAACCAGTAAGAAAACAGAACATGACAGAAGAAAAGTCACTAAACTTTACAAGCTCTGTATTAATGTTCAACTACTGAGGAACAATAGAACAGGCATTTCTTAGCAGGTACAGGAGGCTCTACAGAGGCACACACATCTGCATGACCTGGCTGCTAGGTCGATAATGAGGTCATCATATGACAGCTTCTGTGAGAGTTCTGCACTGATGCTGATGACAGCAAGACCATTTCCATTCCTATTACACTGTTGAAGGCAGGTATGTGAGGCAACTGACTGTATTAATAACAGCATTACTAATCTAAAAGCATGAGCACACCACTCGGTGTGTGCCGAACCTGTGGCGAGCGCAGCTCAAACCGCCTTATATCTGAAACTTGGACAGTTAATATTATACTTGTGATTATGATTGATAATGATCATGTTGGGCTGTTTTGGTGCCCTACGCACAGTGTGTGATGCACGTGCTGTAGCGGCAGCACTGGCACAAATTCATCCACACAAATTTATTAAACAACCTTGAATATAAACTTTAGAGAAATCGTTAAAAAAACTTCTTTGGGGCGTCGGTGGCTTAGTGGTAGAGCAGGCGCCCCATGTACAAGGCTGTTGCTGCAGTGGCCCGGGTTTGACTCTAGCCTGTGCCCCTTTGCTGCATGTCACTCCCTCTCTCTCTCCCTTTCACCCACCCTTGTCTGTCCTGTCCATTGAAGGCTAAAAATGCCCCCAAAAATATCTTTAAAAACAAACAAACAAAAAATTCCTCAAAAGCCTTTGTACTAAATATAATACATTAAAATTCCCTCTCTAATATCTATTTTATATTGCTGTCAGAAATTTCTCCTTCAAACAGCTGTATTTATGTAACTTTCTTGCCAAAATCTACTAATTTACAAGATTACATCTGAACACAGCATTCACAAAACACTATTTTTTTACTGAAGAGAGCTTGAGCACACTATTATGTAACTCAATGCTATCTCTGTTAGCTGTTAGTTCTGGCCACCGGCTGCTAACAGCTTACATTAACTCATTAACCTGGAGCAACATCACTTTTCTTGTGCTGCGTTCGGACGCCTTTCCCAAGTATGTAAACCTTTGAACTCGGGGAAAAAAAAGAAAAAACTAGGGAAAAACTATATTTATAATTTTTAGTATTACATATTTAAAATTATGGTACAGATTTATCATCATGATTATTTATTTAAAATTATTACATTTAAGCACTTTTTTCCAGTCATTTTCTTGTTTGTCCGTTTTCTTTTTTAAAACTAATCTTCTTGTTTTTAATTTTCTCTTTTTACCAATTTCTTGCAGTCGTTTGAGGTCATTTCCTCTGTTGTTGCTCATTGCCTTCTTCCTATGTTTTTGAAAGAAATCAAGCCAATTTGCTCAGGTTTTAAAGGGTTAACTAGCTCTTCTCCTGCCGATTTCAACATGGATTCATTGTTCACAGTGAAGCATCATCAGGGAAACAATAGGGTGTGTCCTCTCGATAGTCAGTTTACTGCATCCTTTTGTTCTGAAGGCGTCGTGGGGAAGATTTCTGTTCGTCCCAAACATGTTTTCTATGGTTCATGGGACAACAGGATGTCGTTAGTCATAAGACCTGTTTTTCAGCCTGCGCAAATTGTAAGTGACACAACAGAAAAACAAAGGCCACTGCCATCAGTGATGTCATATTATTTGCTGATAGGTGAATATCAGCTGATACCAAGGTTTTGGCAGATAAACCGGTGCATCCCTAACTGCAATCAACCAATAATTCACAACATGATCCGGTCACTTTCAAAATCCATTCATCACCCAGCACAGTTTTTATACTTTGAATCTAAAACTAGCTAAAAGAATTGACTTACCTTGTTCAATCAGAACAAAAGCTTGTGGGAGCAAATGAAAAACAGGTATCCTGTGTCTCTCACTCCCTACCAGTCTCTTTCTCTCATTCTCTCCCTCTTTCCACCTTCTTATTGCCCTTCGCCCTTCCCCTCTTCATCCTTCCCCCTTCCCCTCACCCCCAAACCCTATCTAGGTCGGGAGCCAGGGAGCTGGGAGGTAGTGTAGGTACCATGCATGCCCTGAGTCCTCCACATGCTCCCGCCACCACCTGAGCTGCTGACCTGTGTTGGAGGGGGCAGCCGGGGGGAGTAGTGCACTGCGAATGGACGAGACGAGGAGGAGGTTGACAGAGAGGAAGAGGAGAGGGAAGCAGTAGCGGCAGCAGCAGCAGAGACAGAAGCAGTGGAGGCAGAGGTGGAGGAGGAGATGGAGAGGGATGACTGTGCTCTCTGGTGGTGGAGAGAAGAGTGGGACAGACGGGAGGAGTGGAGGGAGTCTGATCGAGATGATGGCGGGGCGTCAGAGTGCGTGGGTGCGGAGGAGGAGGTGCTGTGCAGGGGTGGAGGAGGGGGCAAGGTGAGCGTGGGAGGAGAGGGGCTATGCAGGACTGACTGGGTGCGGCTGTGCTGGGCCTGGGACAGGGAGTGGGGGAGAGGTGAGGACGCAGAGGCCAGGCGCGTGGAGGCTGGTTGGGGGGTGGTGTGCTGCTGGGTTTGGGAGGAGGTAGAGGAAGAGGAGGAGAGACTGAGCAGAGAGCTGAGGCCTCCAGAGGTGGGCAGCGTCACCCCAAACTGATGGGAGGACACTGTGGGAACCACGTGGTGAAATATACCTGCAAATCATACAGCAGAAATGGAGGGAGGGCGAGAAGAGTGGAGACAGAGGAGGGAGGAGAGAGCAGACAAAAGTGGCACAGAGAGCGAGAGGGAGGGGGACAAAGAGAGAAGCAAGGACTGAGCCAGGTTGTGCATAGCGCCAAGCAAGTCTTAGACAAGCACACAGAAAGCAAACAGAGTCAGTTCACTGTGACTGTAACTACAGCAAATGAGTCGGCCAATTTAGCGCTTGCACTGAAACGGTTCTTATTATAGCAAAATAGATTTCTGTGATGGTTTCAGCTCACGAGTGAAATGACTCTGACATACAATCCAACAGATACACCCACAGAAAATGACAATATCGTCGTGTAATAGCTGTGTAAAGCATTCATGGCTTCAGGACAAATTATTGGCTCAGATTTTCCTATTTTTGTGTTTAAATGCAGCATTTTCCACGGGTGTTTCCCACTGCAGCATCAAGCAGCCAGTCCATGTCAAAGCGAGGCAGCACAGAGAGTCAGTCAGTCAGTCAAACTGTCAGTGAAGTGGACAGAAAGACAGCAGCATTGGACCTCCACTTACCTGGCTCATTACCTCAGATTCACATTACTTTTTATCGGCTAAGACTATGACCTAGTTCTTCACTGTTAACCCATCTTCAGGTAAAACGTTACATGATCAGTTTGTCTATATGATGCTCACCTCCAGCCGCTCCCCCTGCCAGCCCAGCACTGGAGAAGCTTCCCAGGGCAGAGTGTCCGTTGACAAGCCTCGGAGTCCCACTCACCGTGGATCCGCCTGTCTGGGCCCCGAACAACGATTGTAAGACTGAGGTCCCTCCAAGCGGGAACTGAGACCCCAGGTACTGTCCCACAGAGGATCCTGTGGTCGAGGAAACTGCTACAGGACTGCCCCCCACCTTCCCACTCAGAATACCCGCTCCGCTGTTGGCTGCAGCAGATATGAAGAGGTTCTGACTGGCCAGGCTACTGCTCGTCTTCAGCTCCCAGTCCCGTGGGGCCTTTTGTTTCTGGAGGGCCTGGCGTTGGTCTGAGCCGCTGCCGCCCTGGGCACCACCACCACCGCCGCCACCTCCACCCCGGGGCCCTGCCTCCTGACTGAGGAAGGGGTTGGGGTTCATGTAGCTGGACGACTCTCCGTCACTTCCTTTCCTCACCTGCTGATGCTGTTGCTTGTGGTCAGAATCTGAGTCCGTGCCCCGGCTCGACCCACCCATGCCGAACGGAGAGCCCCCCTGTCTTAGGTCAGAGTTGGGCTGCTTGGGGTCAGAGATGGGAGAAAAGGTGGATTTCCACTTGCTGGTGGAGGACAAAGAGGACGAAGAGGAGGCCTCGCTGCCTGTGCTGTTACCACTGCTGCTACCAGACTTCCTGACTAGTGGAGAAAAGATGACACACATGTTGGCATTAAGAGCCAGACATGCAGGATTAATGTTTTATATTGTGTGACATTTTCTTTTCTTACCTCTTTCACCATCCCCGAGTCTGCCAGGTCCATCTCTGCTCTCCAAGGATATAGTGGCAATTTTTCTTTCAATTCTAGAGACAAATAACAATAAAAATTCAGAACAAACAGCCACAAGCAGCAACAAAATTAGTTTGAATCCTATAAAAACTGCAACAGATCTGAAGCAATCAATTCTTTTCTCACTAACTTCAGATTAAATACAAGTAGTAAGGTAAGGAAAAATTGTCACTGGTCACTTGGTTACAAAGAAAAAACCTAATAAACGTCAGAAAAAAGGAAAAATATCCTGCAGCTGTAGAGACCAGTTGTTTAGCAAAAAGGGCAGCTTAGCGGGTACACTGTTGTTTATCTTATCTTCATATTACAACCACTGTATTACCGCGAGCTGGAGCTGTCGGCAGGGTATCCTGAGTCCTCGTCATCAGAGCTGGGGGCCGAGGAGTAACGACCTGTGCCATTGAGCTCCAGGGGGCGCTCTCTCTTTAAGATGGGAGGCTGGTCCAGGTCAGGCCCGCTGGGGCTGCGGCTTGATTGTTCTGGGGAGGAGATGGCAGAGATCTCCAGTGGCTGGTTGATGTTGTTCACCTGTCGGGACAAACAACATGCATATGACACTTAGAAATGTGTAGTGTCATTATTCTGTAGCCATTACACTGTGCATTCAACAATGACTTTGTGGTGATAACTTATAGCAAAAAACTCTCAATTATCAATTTAAACCAAAATATATAACATGTAACTTTACAAATATAATATCACATCGGGTTCAGGTGACTCACCATGGAGTTGATGTTGAGTGGCGATCCTGAGGAGTGGTTGTTGGAGCTGAGCCCAGGGAACGACCTCCTCTTTGGGGATCCGCTGGCGTTGACAGCCACCGTAGAGCTGCGTTTCCTTCTCCCCCGCTTACGTCCCTCTTGAGAGCCGAGGCCATGAGAGGAGTGCGATGACGAAATATGCGTGGGCGTCTGAGTGTGCTGTGTGCCGGGAGACTGGTGGTGGTGGTTTCCATGGTTACTGTGGTATCCCTGCTTGTTGCCAGTGTGATGGTGGAGGCGTGATCCTCCGGCCGTGCTGCCTCCACTGCCTGACGAAGAGGAAGACGAGGAGGAAGAAGAGGAAGAAGAGAAGAAGATTCTCCTACGCAGTTCACTGTCCTGGGGCTCCGTGTCAGATTCACCTCCTTGGCGATCCTGTCCGTCTTCTGGAAGAATCCTTGGGGGTCCGTCTGCATACTGGAGCACCCCGCCAGTGCTGAGCGGTGGGCTCTGGATGGGACCTCCTCTGCCCATTGGTCCTGTCAGAGGAGTGTTGGGGTGTGGAGGAGGTGATGAAGAAGCACCATTGTGGTCCTCAGGATGGGGACCACCATTCATCAGTCCTGAGCTGGATGAATATCCTGAGCAGAGACCAAACACTTAATGGTTAAGGATGTACAGGAAGAAGACGCAAATATAGAACATAAAACCTGAAATAGTCACAATAAGCAACTGATCATTCTACGGTAATATTGATGAATATAATTTAATGGTTGATGAATAATCCTTACCATTTGTCTGACCTGCCTGAGGCACAGGACTCGGAGTACTTCTCTGAAATTATGAATGCAGGCAATACAATTTAAAATCTAAATACACAGTATCAAAACATGTCAAAAGAATTATATCTCGGACTGTTAAGGTAAAACAACTCGAATTTGATCAACACAGAGTGTCTACATATATCAGAATCTTAAACTCAATGCTTTTTAAGAGCTTTTCAAGATACTTTTTAACCAAATTTAAGACTGACTTTTGGACAAATCATATTTTCTTATTCACCTGACTTCCAGGTAAGTACACTGTGAGGCCAGGGTGTCCAAAATTTTTTGAATTGGGACCAGATTGGATAATAGGGGGAAAAAAAAAAAAAAAACACATCTGTGGGTCAGCTGGTCTTGCATCATATGTTTTTTTAAAGTCACGTAAGTAAGTATTGAACTTTCCACAGCCTCTGAAAGCTGCGGCCCTCGCTGTCAACTTTGCACTTCTTTACTGTCTAGTACTTTGCGAAAAATGTCTGCTGCTAGGTAACCATTTCTTTTCTTGTTTATTGTCTGTTTATGAAAAAAGTTCTTTCTAGGTAGTTCCTTCTAGGGGTGTAAATCTCCAGTTTAATCATGATACAACATTATATCAATTCTTTGGACAATGATACGATATGTGGCAATATTACAAAGACTGCCACGTTCCCGACACCGTTGGTTTAAGTCACTGCATCTCCCAAACAACTCGCCTGTATGCACGTTTTTTCAGCCGAACATTGTTTAAACAGAGCAGCTAATGTTACTGTAGTGAGATGTTAGCAGGATAAAATGCCTGGCCAGAGTAAATGATGTTATCCTCATCGTCTTTCTCTTGGCTGCTTGCCTGCTGCTGTTGGTCAGTGACATAGACTTTCAAAATAAAAGTCTATCCTAAAGATGATGATAAGGATCAATGTTTTCAATTTGCATCCATTACATTAGATCGTTGATCATTTAATCAATATATCAACCCCAGTTCGATGGATCATTACACCCCTAGCTCCTACTTGGTGCATGTCTTGACACTGTATGACAGCACTGCCCTTGTGAGGTGAATGGAAAAAGTGCAAAGTTAACTTTCTTGATTAACCAGTATCAAGTAGCGGTAAGCCTTGGGCCACAGTTGACCCTCGGGCCAGACTTCTGACATGCCTGCTGTAAGGCGAAGTACATATTTGGTCCTTTGCAGAGGTAGGTCTCATATAGGAATATGGTTATGAGACGGAGCTCTGTTAAGCTAGATTTTGTCAACAGGTAAGATCAAGTATAAAGTAAAAAGGCAGCATGAGGTTCAGCAGTAAGTTAAAGATTTGAAACATCAGAAAAATTGATTTTAATAAATTAAAATATGCATAAATTAAATAAGATAACATGTTTGTGGTGATTAACGTCTCACAAATCCAAATTTAAGACTAGTTACTATCAACAAAACTAAATTTAAGACATTTTCATACTTTTTAGGGACCACAACTCTAACTTGAACATCTTACTGTGTGCACATCAATCTAATTCTTCACTAGTGCACACTTCATTTATCACATCTGCACTCAGTAGTAGCACCTTATGACAGTACCTACATTACATACAATGCACTGAACACACTCACCAGTCTCTCAGCACGACTAGGCAGCACCACGCTGGCTAGTGGGATGCTGACTGGTAGTTTACTTGGGTGTACAGTGCTGAGAGGGATACTTATTGGAAGGCTCGTAATGCTGTTGTCACCCTGAACAGATGGGCTCCTCTCCTTACCACCCTATATGAGACAACAAAGAGGAAATAACATTGAGAGAGAGCTGCAAGGAAGGTAGAAAATGTCCTGACAGATCAGCAGTGCAAGTGCACAGACTGCAAAGAGAGATAAACATTTACCCTCTCGAAGCCTTTATTCTGGGCATCAGATGCATTGGGAGAGGGGCAGTTCAGTTTGGCTCCAAGCGGAGAGTTAATGCCACCCAAATCCCTGAAAAAACAAACAGAAACAGGCAAATGTAGCTTCAACTAGTAAGCTATCTGTAGCCTTAAGGAGCAACTTCAGGACCTTGGAAATAAAACAGCTGATTTTTGAGCACTAGGGAAGTTTTAGTGCCAACCAACCTGTGTGTGTTCAGCCCTGGGCCTCTCAAGTGAGCAGAAGCAGTGGGGTCCTGGTTAAGGTGCCTCCGCAAGGCAATTTTGGCAGGGGAGAAGCGTGTGTAATCAGGAAGAGCGTGGGAGGAACCTTGCTGCCTCTGCCTGGCATCAGGGATGGTGGGTACAATCTCGTGGTCTGGAGAGATGGGCAGGTAGCGAGAAAGGAGCTCCCCCTTGGAGTTGGCCCGGTCGAAACACGGTGAGCTGGTGCCATTCATGGACAGCTCTGGGCTGACACCATTGAGGGCTGGGGCCAAGGACAGCCCGAGCTTAGAGGAGTCCATGTCATTGGAAGAGCGTGATTCCAGGCTCTTTCTGTACGGGGAGCCGTCGCAGGGGCTGTACTTCAGGTGGAACAGCTCCTGCTGCTTTTGCCTTTTCTCCAGCTCCACAATACTGATCTACAAACGGACACCAGGGGGAGCCATTACACCAGAAAACAGGCACTCTATAACAATACTGAAATGTCTAGGAAAATGTTTGTGACAGCAATTCATCAACTCTTCCTGAAAGCTACATTTTATTCAGTGTAGGTGACAAAGATATATCCTTTGAAAAAACAGTGGGACGGACTTAAGAGGGCGGAAGGATGGAAGAAGAGGCCAGAAAACACAGCAAGTATGGAGGAGTGTACAAGAGATGGAAGAGAGAGATACAAGCATTTGGTAATTAATCCACCAAATTGAGGAGGCGGGCAGCGTACCTGCAGCTCCAAGCAGTGTCTCTGTTTCTCAGAGATCTGTCTGCGCAGTGCCTGCTTCTCCTTCAGCAAACTCTCCAGACACAAAGAGCCCCAATCAAGCTTCAGCTCCTCACATCGAGACTTCAGCTGGAAAACAACAAAAACACACTTGCTGTTATTTGTTCGCTTAGAGAATGCTTGAGTGAAATGAAATGTATTTTCATATCCGCTTGAAGGGCAAGGCTGTGTAGTACCCCCTGCGACAGTTACAGCTGAACTGAAACTTCAACCACCATTACGCAAATGCAGAGCAGAAGGAATGGTGACAGGTTTGAAACTCTGGGTGTGATGCTGTAGTAAGAGGGAGGAGGTTACAAAAGCATTCTGTAGTAACAATGCCTGAGGCCTCACCAGTAGCAGACTGTGGTCTCTCAGCAAGGCCATATCTCTCTCAAGCTGCTTCGTCTGCTCTTTCAGCTGACGATTGTGGGCTGATATCTCCTTCTGGGCCTGCAGCAGGTCCTCCACAGTCAAGGCTTTCACTCCCAGCTGCACGCCACAAACACAGACACACGGTCATACATCAGCTACAAACACATAATGCCAAAACAATTTAACATCAGTAACAATCCCTTCTTCGCAGACCTGCTGCAGTGATGTAGAAGTGTACACAGGGTCTGATCATTGTGACCTCAAATCACTATTGGGTCTATTTTAAGCTTTAAACATAGCACATGTCGTTCTACACCCACAGGGACGCTGCATGTGTCTAAAGGCCTTTGCACACTGAGTTTGTTTTTTTCGTCTGAAATTGTTGCACGTCTAAAAACAAATACGACTTCACGTTGTGTCAATCATGTTTGTACACTGAGTCTGGAGCTTTTATCCGTTATTAAAATTCTTGCAACAGATTTTCTGCGTTTTTCGCACCCGTCAGAGCCTTAAGAGACGTTCGACCAAGAATCAGTGAAGAAAATGTGGCGGCGGGACAGAGAAACAACAAGACAGAGGAACGGGGCGCACAGAATCATTTCATAACTCAGACAGCTCACTTTCAAATGGTGAGATAGTAATTTTCAGGTGGATGATAATGGCGAGAAGGATGTGGACCGCACACAGAATGTGGAGGACAGAGAGGGAGGACAGCTCCGCCCCTGCGGTGCCAAATGACAGACAGGGAGGGAGTGGTGACAGCCAGATAGGTAACTCCAGTGGAGAGAGGTGAAGGAGGAAATGTGTCTTTACATTTTGTCATGTATTGCCAATTTTCACAATGAACAGAACAATAAAACACATCGGAATCAGTGGGCAAGGTTTCTGTATGTAACGTGTTTTTCCGGCCTTCACATGCAAAACTTGAAGTTTCAACCAGAGGAGCTCAGTGTTGAATTAATGCAAACTACAACACAACACCGCAGGAAAACACCCACAGTGTGTTCTTCCTCTCTCACACGCCAGTTGTGTTTAAAACTTCAAGAATTGGGATATACATGGAAATGCATATAATCTTTTCAGGTTGTGCATCAAACAGCTGCAGTGTAGAGCTTATTGTTGGTGCACATGCTGTACTTTGGACTTGTGTGTATATTTAATAATAGATTATCTAAAAATAAAGGAACTAAAAACATGGCTGACAGACAGAAGTAAACATGGAGAACAACTGATGCACATTTCTGGGTGTTGTAATACTGTCATACTGTGCAGTAATAGTGTTGATTGTGGCAATACAGCTGTGTAATAAAGAGCAATAATGCAGCAGTTCCCACCTCATCTAGTTTGGTCTGAAAGAGACCTTTGATCTTGTCCTTGTGAGTCTGACAAACAGAGTGGAGTTGCTCCGCCTGCCCTGACAGGTCCCTGTGTTTTTGCTAGAGACAAAAAAATAAGAATACAGGTAAAAGGTTGGGCAGAAATGCAAAAGATTATGATGCTTAATATTGCACTGTGACACTTAATATGTGCTGGCATGATACGGCAATACAGTGGCATTACTTATTACCTTCTCCTGTTCTAGAAGCTGCTGCAGGTTGGAGCGGTACTGAGGGGTCTTCATGTAGGACATAAACTGGAGGTATTGAACTTTGATGTTATCTGTAAAAAGATGTAGGTCAGGGACACAGAGGGAGCAAGAGAGCAAAAACACAGGATACATTATTAGTTAGGCTGTTGGGGAAATAGAGCTCAGACACCAAACAGACTGACTTATAAAACATTCAGGATGATAGGACATTTAAGGGGCCACCAAAGTTGTTTTCCCTGAGACCAGCATATTTTTGTAATTCTTTGCAATGTGACCGCTGCATATTTACGCTACACTACAGATGCCAGCAGCATGACAAGGCGCTAAGTGTTTATGTTGCACCGAGTGCTGCAAATTTGGCGTTTTGTTTTGAACCCCCGATGGTTGAAAGATGTTCAACTTTGGGTAAAACGCTGCACTGGTAACTGTCACTTTTTAGCCAGCTGTCCAACCCAGCCTGTCTGACATCATCGCACAAAATACTGAGCCCCAGCCTGACCAAGCCTGACCCCCCAAAAAAGGACTAGTTGGCTTCTAATGCCAGGACACGGCCCGGAGGAAGGACAGAGAGCCCAGCACGCTGTCCAAGTGACCACCTTGTATTTAACTTTGGCTAACTTCGACTCAATTATCAGGACCTCCATCTTCTCTTGTATTCTTCTCTCCGACCTCGTTGACAGTGACACCGACACTTACAGCTCCCTAACCCCCTCTTTTGTTTAACTGGGCCGGTCACTGGTCAAAAGCCGCCTGGCTACAACAAAAGAAACAGAAGATGATGACGATGTTGGATTTAAATTTTAATGTAAGAAATATTCAAATAAATTTAGCACCGTGTGCTTCATCCAGAGCAAGTCCTCTACCTTGCGCTGACATCTTTATCTCTGCGGACATTGCTTATCATAGCAACCAGACGCAACCAAAGCCTTTCAGCTGAAAAAAAGGCTGCACCAGCTGGGTGTTTCCCGAGGAGCACCTGGTGTTTTCAGCTGGCAGAAAAACACTTTGGGTGGACACAAGGCTGCAGAACTCAAACTAATGAATGTTACCCGATTAGATTTTATGTCTCTACTTGTGACGTCTCATTTGCAAACTCTGCTCCTCTCACTGTAGACTGGTGCAATAACTTTTCATAGAATTCATATACAGAAATATTTTTACATAAAATCTTTAAAGGAGACCTATTTTGCTCAATTTCTGGTACACACTTGAATTTTGGGTTTCTACTAGAACATGTTAATGCTTTTATCCAGATTTGTAGTCTCATATAATATGTACGACTTGACAACAACTTTGAACATGACAGATAAAACATGAATTCTTTATGAGTCTTCGTCAGCTCACCTAGCAGTTGCTGCAGACCAGGAGGAGTCGGGCTCAGAAGCAGTTGACTAGAGGAATAGTGCTGGACCTTGGGAGGTAGCTGGTAGAAGGGAGGTGGCCGGTATGCATCTGTACACACAAGAAGCACATTCATGTTAAACTGAGATACAGTCATAAGTCCTTTCTGTAATATGAGGCAGCTCAAGGTTTTCCATGATTGGTTACATGTTCCATTCAGAAAAAGCAAATGTGCACTATTATAAAGCCTGAGGGTTTTATCTGGCATATTGTAATGTGTGTGTGCCCTCTGACCCTGAGGGGGCGCTGCAGAAAGGGTCTTGGCGTGCAACAGATCCAACGCGCTCTGATTCTTCTTGTTTTTCTTCTCAGCAGCCGGGGCGGCCTTCTTGGGTCGACCACGCTTCTTGTTGTTCAGCTTGCGAGCTTTGGGCAAGAGCCGAGCTCTTCGGGGTTTGGCAGAGGGCTTGACCACTGTCACCAAGGTAGGACGCTCTTCCTCACTGCAGGAGTCCTGCTGTGATACGCATACACAAACACACAAGTACATAATCATACAAAGGGCACAAAGAGCTTGCCTTGCTGTGTTAAGTTGACTGACATGTTTAGAAAACAAGAGATAAACATTTCAAGGAAAAATATGACATACAATATAGCCGAAGGTAATGCAATTAAAGTTGATTCATATTTAATCCCCATCCAGCTGGCACTTAGAATTGCTTCCCACATTAAGTCTCGTAAATCCGAGCATGTCCTACCTTGTTTTGTTCTTTCGGTTTTGTGGGCGTGGTGCTATTGCTTTTACTGTCCTTCGTATCCTTCTGCTGACGTCGCCTAGCTGCCTCTTGTTCCTCCTGAAATAACATGATCCAATTTAATTATTTGATACGGAAATTATAGAGAGTACAGTGACTCATGTTAACACACTGAGGAAGAAGAACATGACTTACCCTGAGTTTAGGATTTTTGAGACTAGCAAAATAGTTTTCAAGCTGAAAAATAGGAGAAGGAAAATTAGAATCATCACAACATTCTACATCAACTCAAATAATCATGGTGTTTACAACTTTAAAGACTTTAAAAAGATTGTTTCACACTTTTGGCTGTAACCTTATTTCAGAACCATCACTGTGCGTGCACAGTTTGCACCCTGTTCAAACAATGTTTCTTTCATTTTATCTTAATTTACATTCGTAAAGTAAGACTCTTTTTAAAGCAAACAAGACCCTGAACAACACTTCATGATTAATTGTTGCACATTGTGACATGTTTTTTTGTAATACAGTCAATACATAAAACATGAGGGTTAGTAAAACTCAACTGAAACTAGTTCAAGTAAAGCCTGAGCATGTCGAGGCTTCAACAGATGATAATGTTAATCCAGATTGCTTCAAAAATTCAAACACAGATACTGTGACATGTAATTGTAATAGAAATTGCTGACCAGTCTGTTTTGTCCTCCAGTGAAATTTTTGGATTATGAATGCAGATTATTAGTCATTTGCTCTAACGCAGGCACACAACCTACGTGCATCAGGTCATCTGTCCATCAGTTGCAGCATTTGTTGTTTGTCAAACATGAGAAGATGCACGGCTTGTGACCAGTCACCATCTGTCACTGCCAGTTCTCTTACACTTGTTTACCAATCAATCCCATGAACTGTTGAGATGGGCTCATCGTTGGTCCCAAATCTCTCATCAAATCCACCCATAACTTCTCCCTCTCCATCAACGGCTGCACTCTGCCTGCCCCGCCAGAGACTCTCATCCATGCATTCACTACATCCAGACTGGACTACTGCAACAGTCTCCTCTATGGTTTGTCAGCCAAAACACTCAAGAAACTACAGTATATCCAGAACTCAGCTGCTCGTCTTCTCACACACTCGCTGACCCCATCACTCCCATCCTTCATAACCTCCACTGGCTCCTCATCCCCCAGCGTATCCACTTCAAACTCCTCCTCATCACTTACGAAGCTCTGCACAACCTGGCTCCCCCCACCTGTCTGAGCTCCTCCACCGGCACACTCCCTCCCGCACTTTCAGGTCTGCTGAAACCAACCTCCTGCACCACTGCACCTGGGGGGACAGGGCCTTTTCCATTGCTGCTTCCAAGACATCAGAGACTCCCCCTCACTTTCCACCTTCAAGAAAACCCTCAAAACACATCATTTCTAAACTGCCTACAGCCTCTAAAATCAGTATACCGCACCCTTTCTGCATTATTTCCCTCTCTACCTCGCTATGGATTCTTCTTCTTCTTTTTTTTTTTTTGCTGCCATTCTTTGTTAAGCGTCTTTGAGTATCCTGAAAAGCGCTATATAAATCCAATGTATTAATGTTATTATGATGAAAATGGATGACATGACAGTGCCCCAAAAGTGAAGCCAAAACACTTCAATCTCCTCCTGGTAACTGGCTGCAGTCAGGTCATAAAGCCCACCCACTTCAAGTAAGCGTCAAAGTACATGTCGAATAAATTTTTCTCCAAAGATGGTTCCTGTCATTTTAAGTAGTTCTTATCACGCTAATGTTTGTTTTCCTGATACGTTTGGTTTTAATTAGTCATTTGATGCCATAAAAAGGGGAGGCTGACGTCATGATTGACAGCTGTGTGTGCCAGTCTGTGTGCTGGTTGGACGAGGGTATGGGAGGTCACCAGCGCAAACGGCAGCGGGTGTATCTGGGATATTTCGGCTTCATTTTGTACAGTGGGATGACGTGAATATAAGTGTTTTCCATCTTTACATAGAGTTATGAATCAAAACCCACCCTCTAAAGCAGTGGTTCCCAACTGGTGGGTCGAAGCCCAAAAATGGGTCGTGAATGTGTCAAGTTTGTAAAAAAAAAAAACACACTTTATTTTGAAATACAGTAAATATCCTGCACAGAGCTTTTATTTTGAAGTGCTGTTTCCTGATGTAGAGTGAGTGAATAGCAGACAGCTACTTGACAGAGACCGCAAACTGGCTTGACGATATGACCAAACACAAATATGACACTGAATATCTTAAACTGTGTGGACCTTGAACTAATGACTAAGGACAAGTCTGGACCCCGTGGCTGGACCAGTTGGGAACCACTGCTCTATGGGTACAAACAAAGTCAGCTCACCCACCATTGGCTGCAAATATGCAAAAAAGTTATTAAGCGAGAAGAGTAGCCACATCTACTACAAGTGATAACACAGAACAAGATTGGCACTGGCACTTTTTAAATAGCGTGCAAGCTCTCTCGCTAGGATTCCCACTGGTAACCTGGGATTACTTTAACCAATTACCAGAATGACACACTCATCAGTGTTATACATTGCACTCGTGTCACCCTCTGTGTCCTCAGACGGCTCACTCCTGAGACTGACTACTCATTAAGATACCAGCTGTTATTATGGCAGCCTATCTCCTGAGTTTACACTACTCTTTGTCTCTAATGTATAATGTGTTTGTGCTGCTTCGGCAGCCAATTAGTTTTATTGGTCTGTCTAGGTCTCCTCTAGCAGACATTCTAGTCTCTACATTTCGGTTCAGCGCTTACTATAGTGCGATCTATGGTATGCAGGTAGTAGGACACCGGCTTTCCAGTCCAGGACACGGAGCCCCTCAGTGGAGAAAGCTCCACCACACGCATTATTGTGCCAATATCTGCGGGACAATGAGAGAAAAAGCATGTCAGATACACACATCAAAGGAAGCATGAGGTATTAAAATTTGATTTCCCGCTGTTGGTAGTACTTACCGCTCAAGTTTCGACTGTTTATTCTAAAATTTAAAGGTGCAAAAGGTTTGGAGGATACAATTTTTCCACCTGTGAAAATACAAAAACAACAAACAAAACAAAATTAATTTTCTCCAAATAAGTTCTTGATGCTGTACAGTGGACTCACAAAGTATCTCATGACATAAATAAACTATAAAACACATTTACTTCCTCACTTAGAGACAAGACTCCATAAACACATTCATCATACTGTAAGGCTAAGTATATAAAACTAGTGAGGTGGCATAGTGGGGCTGTGAGGTCAAAGGTCAAGTGTCAAGAGTTGACACAGTGGCTACTGGATATCACCAGCCAGTGTTATTTTAATCACCGATGACAACAGCTGAATAAATATTTTTTTATCCAGTGAGCCAAGGCGCCATTCCCAGTGCTCCCAACAGAAGGCCTCGATGTTTTCAACACAAACTAGAAGCTGTCATAAGCTATAAGCTAGGCTGTCAGCACCTGGTATTTAAAAGCCTGCTTTGATGAGTTTCCTCCTGACGCCTCATAAAATGTCTCTTTTTTATTGTGGCTCATCAACCGTCAATCATCTACCATACAAGTCATTTAACGACATCTGTAATGACAAATTAGCACATAGCTCAAAGTAAAGATAAAGGATCAGAGAAGTGAGAATCATATATTTCTCTCTCATTGTATTGATTAATAAAGATTGCTGATGTTAAGTTACTTAGTATTTGAAGTGACAGTCTTGTGGATGCTATGAGCTTATAAGTGACTCCCTAAATTTAGATGTACAAATACTTTCCAGCGTAAATACACCTAATATACCGACTTATGGTTGACAAAATGCATTGTCAGAAATACAAGGGGAAGATTTTGATTTAAAAAGCCACCCATGTTTAACCAAGAGTCAGAATGCTGCAGCTGTTTTTAGGAACACTTCACCTATTCATGACTATAATCCACAAGTAGTGAAAAATACTCACCTTCCTTCATGTTAGCAAAGCGCTCCTTCAGCTGGTGATCTACCTCTGGACCAAAGGCAAAGTTATTCACAAAAATAATACTGCAAGACAGACAAGACAAGAAACATTTTAGATGTAAAGCTGGTGGTAGAAAGGGAGATTAATGTTTTGGTAAAGTCCTGCAGACACAAAAACACATATAAGTCTCCTGCATATGATGCTTTTTATCTAGATGACGAGAGTTACACCTGTTTATCTGTAAGTGAATAAGTTTCATAACGGCGGCTTTTATTACCCGACTGAACCTTTGCATTATGATACACAGCAATTCCTATTTTTTTAGTCCCTTTAACCAATAATGGTCTAATTGTGTCTTTCAGACTGTTACGGAGTCCTGGTTCGATTTAACACCTTGTGTTGGCGATCCTTTCCTTCCATTCTTCAGACAGAAAGTCCCCCCTCTCCAGCTGAAACAAACACAGCAGAGTTAGGTTTAAAACCCTGAACACACGTGGATCAGCAGAATAATATTTAAAAGTTTCTGAAAGTGTGCATCATGATAGTCTACTCACTGTGTACTCCCCATGTTTCTTCCCATACCATTTCATCCACTTTTTAAACTCTTTATCCATGGACTGAAAGAAAGAACGTGAAAGTTAATATCCAGACAAAATGATGAAATGAAATGATTTAAACAATTAACAATCAGCACAGCATGAATGTGTCCCAGAGGCCGTTCCAGAAAGAGGGATTAGCAAGTTAATGAGAGCCCTTGAGTGATATTCTGCATATTGAATTCAGGTTTTGCAGAAAAGCCTGTTACTGCCAAGTTTGTGTCTTTAACTTTGATGACTAAATAGGGATTTTTACTACTGTATCGAATTGATGCTGAACCCTATGTCGTAGCCTGATGTGCACCTCCCCAGGAATATAACTACACGCCATGGTGACACAGACTTCCTGTCTATTTTTGTAAGCTAAAACCATTTCCCATAGTGGAAACAAAGCTTTCATTTACTTTAATTTCACAGATAAGAAACAACAAATTGTGAAGACAATAAAGCCTCCACAGAATTAGCATTTTAGGTCTTGTGTGTGATTTATCCTGGCTTCATATGAGCAGAGGAAATCTCTGGTCTAATTTATGTAAAATGCCATAGGCTTGTTCTAATGACGTTAGCATGTTATAATTGTTTGGAAAACGCGTTAAGTCTTGTGAGTTGTAACGGAGCCGAATATTGTAAGGTTACCTTTGTTAAATGTTGCTGTTGTCCCTGGTTTTATATGAGAAGAGGAGAAGATCGCTAGCTGCTAGGCTAATTTATACAATGTAAAAAGCCATAGGCTTGTGCTAATAACATTAGCATGTTGTATTTGTGGGGAAAATGTGTCCAGATAAAGACAAGTGTTTGTCTGTGAATGCTGTGAGTTATAGTGAAGCTGAAAAGTGCACTTGTGTTTGAAGCTGTTTCTATCAAACCATACTTAGTGTGTTTAATGTGTGTTTTGAATCAACTCAACTTTACAGCAGTTCACAGAAACCCCGCCGCTGACTAGTGTTTTGGAGGTGTAACTGCAGAGTGACACAGACACACCACCGCACAAGCATAAATGCTCACAACAGCATGGGCCACGTGTGTAGGCTACAGCGTAGGCCTTGCACAGAGCTGACGCACAAGTATAAATCCTGCTTTGGTGTGCTGCTCAAGGGTAATGATGAGAAGATGAAATGTGAACCTGGAAATTCACTTTGTACACTTTTCTGTTTATTTTCCGGAGGTTATTTGCACTACACCAACACTGCGTCACTTCACTACAATGACTGAGGAAGTTGTGATTTTTTTTGACACTGTTGTGTAGCCTTTCTATGCTCTCTTTCAGGAACACCCTTCTGGTCCTGTGAGACATTTATGTAGTAGTTACCTCTGCATAGGTAGCTGGAATGTCTGCTTTCTCTACACCGTAGTAGTGTTTACAGTTGGTTGCTGCTGCAACCTGCAGCACTACCTGCCCGACTCCTGCAAATAAGAAAACAATACGTTACTGTTTTACACCAAACAGAAACACCTAGCCTGTCAATATAGCCACCTTGTTTATGACATATTGAAAACCATTTTTTTCTTTAACCCACATCCTGACCTAATCCCACAACTCTTAACATCTTTGTTGTCCTTTAAACATCAAAACATTATCAACCATGTATTTGAAAGGTCTGGAGATACACTACTGACTGACATCCTGAAATAACATTAGATTAGACTAACCACTGCCAAGGTCAACAAAGGTGTCATCTTCCATCATTTCCATCTCGTCGATGATCTGAGCCACCAGGTCGAAAGAGGTCTCTCCGTACACCTCGGGGGAAAAGGGCTCATAGTTGTTCAGCTTCTCCGGGTCGGTCACTGAGTGGTTGTACACCTGCTGTAGGATGTGTCTCAGCAGCCCGTTGGAAGGACGCTTGTTTAGCTTCATGGGCTGGGTGGTCCCCTTCCACTATAAAGGTGGAGTTATATATTTATTCACACTAAAGCACTCAAATCAAAGTATAATGGCTTCACTATGCAACACTGTGGCAATGTTATCCAGTAGTGCTGGCGTTTCAAAGAGGAGGACACAAGTTCTGGTCATAAATGTGGACTAGAGGGCAGCTGTGAAACATCTTGGTCAATAACTACAAGTTAAAATCAGTAATTATAGACACATATCTTTAACATTATTCATGTTAGACAGTGTTGGTTCATGCACAGTACAAATTTAGAGTACACTGTAATAGACTCACAGCGCACAGATACACTCTCAGTGACTAATATTTTCACATTCACTTCACCTACACAGCACTACAAACCCTCACACATATGGACTCACCAGCTGGTGAATGCTGTCGATGGCCCTGTTGTACTTGTCACAAAGTCTCTGCATACTCTCGAAGCTGTGAGAATAACGACACACAAAATGAAGACAATCATTTTGCACAACATGAAATCCAACCCTTCAGTCCAGCACAAGAACTATTTTTATCTTTATGTAACTCTGAAAATACTACAATAATATAATGGCGTCCACTGTGGCACAGATATAACAGTTAGATAACAGTTACTGACACTTTTAGATTTGATTGTATTTTTGGCTTTAGAGAACCAATTTAAGACTTCTATTTAGACACACAGTACAAGCAGGCTGTTAGATCAGCAGTCAGCCTGACTAAATAAAAGTGCTGACACTGTAAGAAGTTTTATTTACTTTGTCATAATCTTCACATATTTTGGACAAGTCCCTTTAGTATGTTTACCAGTTTGTTTTTATTTTTACAGTGCCAGCAACTGACTTGACTCTGACTTTGATGCGACTCTGAGCTCACCTCTTGGTGTCATAGTCAATGAGTACGTAGTTTTCCATGGCCAGTTTGAGGTCAGGGATCTCCTCACACACCCACCTAGAAAAAGCACCACGCATACAATCGTCACTAGATCATACACCCGAAACAGTCACTTGCGTTCTGTGTGAATGTGGGAGTGTGCACGTGGGAGTTGAGTCAGAGAGAAGTCATTTACCGAATGGTCTCGATGATTTCATGAGCAGCATCATGGTGTTTATCCTGAAAACAGAGAGGGGGAACAGAATGTTAAACACCTCTCAGTATGACCCATTAAAGCCACCAGCACCACAAAGTACAGCTTCCAAAATGATCGTAACGTTTAAGCCATCACCTCTAAAACTGTCAACAACAACTGAATATTATAGCCTTCGTGACAGCAGGATTTATTGCAGGACTGTTTTATTACAGTGTGTTTGTTTAAGCTCAGTGTACCTAACAAACTGGCAGTGCAGAAAACCCAAAACAGTCCCTTGAAATATATAAAACTCTATAAACCAGGTAGCACAACACATAAAAGAGAGTTTACACAATCATTTTCTTTCAGTTTCTGGTATATGTCATTAAAGTTTACCATTTACTTCAACTTCAAACTCAACTTTCTTTTATCATTACAAACAGAAATGTTACAAATAAGAAGAAATAAATATGATAACGCAGAAAATATCTGAATAACAATTTCCTGTCTGGCAATTTCTATTCTTTCTATACGTACCAGGCAATCTATGGTGAGCAGAGGTGAATGTAAACACACAGACACACTTAAATAACTGAATTACAGCTTCATGTTAACACAATGCAATGACCAGAGTGTTTATGTCTGATTTATCCTCTTGTAGCAGCACTATCTCACAGACACAACAATGACCACAACCTGAATGCTGTTTAGACTACTCGGGAACTCAGTGTTCACAACACATACTATCCACCTTATTCCTAGCCCCCATGATACCTTGCGTGAATTATGGGTGCAACTTCCGGCGTTGAACCAAAACTGGCCATTTCCAATGGTAACAGTTTGTTAACAGTATTCTCTTCTTGTTTCAAAGAGCATCTGGGAAATAAAACGTGGAACACACCACCTGTTGTAGCTCAAACGGGATTATGTGATCATACCTCTGCCATCTCTGACAGCCACCTCTAAGCATTGTTGTTTTTTTTCTCTTTCAACTGAGCACGCTAGCAATCAGCTTGCCTTGCTCTGTTAAAATATTGTTAACTTTAACAAGGCCCAAGCTAGCTTAAGGTAAACATCTGCTCCTTCTACAGATGATTTATGATGACTTATTAAGAGATACTAACACGTTCGGCAAACATTTAACATAATTCAGTATTAAAAGTATTATATAAAGTGAATAAATGTGATGTTGACTAACCACAGACAGTCTATGGGACTAACTAGCTTACTGCTACTTCTGCTATGTCATTGGAAGTTGCGTCCATAATCATTTCTACAGTAGTGCTCTCAGGAATAAGGTGGATACACTCTGAGTAAAGCAGATTCCTGTCATTACCAGTCTATTATATAAGCCTGTACATTCATAAAGTTGGCAGTTTATGCATCATAACAGTGGTCTGTAGACACATCACTCGGATATACCTGACTTTATGTATAGAAAGTAGTGGTGGGGGAAAAATCAATTCAGCATATATCATGATATTTTTGTGTGGCAGTATAGTATCGTCACACAGTGCCAAGTATTGATTTTTTTTTAATCATATAAACTAGTAATATGACATAAACAAAGTGAGATTAACAGACTGAAAACTTCATCTCATTACATAAAAGTTTTCCTTTGGGGACATAATTTACAGTTGGAAAAAAGTAATAAAGCACAATATATTGCAATATATTTTATCGCAATACTCAGCATATTGCAACATATTTAAAATCCAAATTATATTGTATCGTGACTTAAGTATCGTGGATCCTCTGGTGATTCCCACGCCTGATAAAAGGGCTGCACACTAATGTTTTCATGGAAGGACGTAAATCAAACCATGATTCTATCAAGAATAGTCAACGGGTTTAAAAAGCGGCTTCATGGGACACATCTTAATTTAGGATTAGTTACTTCACAACTATGAAGTCACTTCACAAATACACAATAAGTCCTAATGTGGTGGAATCTGCAGAATAGAAAAAGACAAAACAAAAACTTCAAAGTTAAAAGGACTTTGACAAAATGCAGTATAAGCTCCTCTCTTTGTGGAAATAATACAAGCGTAGGAACAGTGTAATAATCTCTACTGCATTTTCCTTGTAAATTGTAAATCTCCGAGAGAGACTACAGCTCAATTATTCAGATGGTCTGATCAATAAATCCTCGTCTGTCTCACAGCGCTTGTTTGCCCAAAAAATTAATTTGTCTCTGTTGACAGACAGCATTAATCTGATGTTAAACCTGCCTTCATGTCATTTTAATTAAGGTTTAATTTCATTTGGAGTAACTCTAACCTTCCTGCAGGAAATTGGTTCAGTAAATTTAAGAATTGGCTCAATCAGACTACTCCAAACCACGTCTTTGATTCAGATAAATCTGGTTCAAATAGGCACTTTAATCTAGAGGAAAGCTTATTAAAATAAATGTAAGATGAGTTAAATTGATCCCATGCAGGGATTCTATAGTTAGTAATCTTAGCTGGAGTGTGCTGAGCAGCTCTGTGGGAGTAATAGGACTCAAGTTACACCCAGAGCGCAGCCAGCCTGAGCCTGTTGCCTGAGCTGACCCACTGACCCACTTTCTGTCTCCTGCTCCAGCACACTGCCAAGAAGAGCCTCTGGTGGAGGGAAAGAAAAGAGGGGAAAGTAAAGAGGAGGGGAAATCAGAGGCTAAAAGGAAAGAAAGTGAAAGCGAGAGGAGCTAGAAACCGTGGCGAGTGAGGGGGCCAGAGAGAGGAGGGGAAGCCTGGTATTTGTCAGCTGTTTGAGGCCTGGCACAGCAGCCACAGCTAACAGCTCACAACCTGGAGCTCCCGGCTTCCCGCTCAATACTGCCCGCCACTACTACGCAAACTTCCGCCAAAGCTCAAACATGCATGCGCACACACTCAAATATGCATGGTAACACAGGAAATCTCCTTCTATTTCTGTCAGCACGGCGTTCCGCTTTCAGCTATGTTATCAAGCTAACTGCTAGCTGTGTTGCCAGAGAGCTGCATGACCTACAAATCTTCTTCAACATATATGAGCACGACAGATTTAACACACTGTGTTCCACTTGACAGGGGAGGTGTACAAGGTGTGAGAGTGTATGAAAGAGACTGTGTGAGCAAGCAAATGAGATGCCGAAAGGGGGGAGGTCACCTGCTCACACAAAGACGGCACACAGCAACACCAGCACAGGGCTGCTGCTAAAAATAAACACCCGTCTGAAAGCGAGAGTCAGACAAAAAGAACAGGAGACCCTCCTCTCTCCCCACTGTGGGTATACTGACGCATGCACGACTCCTCCTTTTTACACCACCTCTTCAGTCAATCTCTCCTAACATCAGAGGTTTGTGAAGGGGGTTTTACACTACACATCACTCCACTACGTATATCTCAGCAGCCTACAGGACCAAATGACTAAGGCAGACGCGCCACTTATTCCCTTGTACTACTTTTACTTACCACAAAATACAACTAATACTCTCTGTGGCTCATTACGAACACAGAATTAGTAACTGTGGCTAGCGGTGTTATTTATATTTTCTATCTTTAAGTGAAGATTTGTGGGAAAAAATGTGCATAGTATTTGATAATTACAAACACACTGCTATCTAGTGTAGCTGTCTCGACATGCAACTGACAGTAACTAATTGCACCCTTGTAAAAATGAGGTGAAGCTCAATGGTGAGAACCAAACTAACCAGACATTCAGCAATACTTAAGCAGCAGTGTGCCTTTTAAATGCTATGTAGGCTTGGTTAGTGCCAACACCCAGAACCAGATGGACAAAGAGCTGCACCACACCAGAGGTGCTCTTCATATGGAAGCATTTACAGATGCACAGATGTGGGGATTTAGGGAGAGATGGGGAGCAAACGGAGAGAAACGCAGAGCAAAAGAAAGAAAGAATTTTTACGGGCTTCATTCTAGAGGCTGCATTAGAGTAAATGCACGCCTTATATTGCAACAGCCTTTACAACAGCCATGTTGTGTGTATCACAACACAGACAGCACTGTGTTCATGCTCTGTGGGTGAGATAAGCAATCTTAATGCTCTGTGGGAGTGAAGAATGAATCTACATGGGGTGGGATCTGTTGCTACCAGCACACAGTTTAAACCGGACTGGGGAAAAAAACACTTGAGCACGAACACTGGCACGTGTTTTTGAATTCTATTAATATAGCATTGCTGAAAAGGAGCAGTCTCTTCAATCATCCTCCCTGTAGAGTTGACCATATGGACATGAGAGGAAGGGAGAAGGGAGAGGAAGTCTTTCCTCTTTGAAAACAGGAGGAAGGCACTGCATGAATAGGCTGCATATTACAGAGCTCCACATGCAGCACTATCAGCTGTTTCTAATTCATTGCAAAAGCTAGTCCTAGTATAAATAGTTGTCATGCAGGTCACCAGTATGTGCAAGAGTATAAATTCCTGACATGCTTGCTCTTGTGTTTATCCTTACAGACCATAACATAAGGAAATGGGCGAGGCAATAAACTCGGGTGGGAGAAACTGTAACTGTTATCAGATTGTAGCCAAGCGTAAAAGGGAGAGTCAACTTTGTCAGCCAAAGCAGAGGGGAGCGGCTGATTACATCAGCAAGTTACTCTGACTCAGTGACTTGAAACTCATTCAGTTCATATTGTGACGAATAACAAAACACACTAAACGCTGGAACTGAAACAACCCGACTGCCAGACGAGGTACAGTGTGGGTGGAGAGGACATGCACAGAAAGACCCCACTCAGACATTCGGAGAATTTCAGCTTTTTTCAGTCAACGCTGTTTGTTTCACCGCAATTACTATAAATGAGAGACACAATTTAAAGTTAACTATACACTCCTGGAAAGACCACAAAACTTTCAACCGCTTCCCTTTCCGTTTATCTTCAGTGAATCAACTGCAATCAGCCTGTGACGTGCTGACAGCATGCTACATGGAAATACCACTGAAAGAGAAGAAGTCTCTTTCTAGGCAAGCATGGCTATTATTGCTTTGAGATGTGACACATCGGGATCAAATTGATGTATCGAGCCCGAGCTGCCAAACTCAACCAGCTGGTCTCAATAATAGGAATGTCATGAGATAAAAACACACACACAGTTGCAGACACTCACACACACACACAGACAAGGCACTCGAGGAATGCAACGCAGCAATTGGCATGCCAACAATATCGATAGGCACGACCTCACAGAGTTCTCTCTCTCTCTCTCTCTCTCTCTCTCTCTCTCTCTCTCTCTCTCTCTCACTCACACACACACACACACACACACACACACACATCTATAAATATACACACAAACATCACAGATATTGCACATAATCTCTATATTGTGATTGTTTGCTGGCATCAAACCGTGTATTTCAGCAGAGAGGACAGCTATAACCTATTAATCTAGCAGTTATAACCACTTACATGTGTTTCAATAAGAATCCAACATTTTATAAGAGAGACACTTTGGGCAAAAACTAAGTTTGTGTGACACTGAGTGAAGGGAGGTCTGTTTCAGTCGCTCCAATTTCAAAACACCTTGTTATACTGCCTGTCAATGTGAGCCTCAATTGTACTTGTAGCTACCTAATAACGTTAACGTTACTCTACTAAACTATACCGTAGTCTGTATGTCTGTACTTTCTAGGAACAAGCTATGGCAGCACAATGCACGTACACCATGTCTGTCACCATCCCGACCAGTATGACCCGATTCCCCCCCCCCTCGGACGAGCGTGCCATGGCTCCTTGAGCTAGCCAGTGTTAGCACAGAGCTAGCTAACAAAGGCAAAAAACAGAGACAAAATCTAAACATGTAACGGGTGAGATTAGAGGTGTAACACTTACGTATACTGGTAACGGCCATGGGTAGCCAGCAGGTTCTGCTCCAACCGGCGATTTGAGCTTTAGCTCCAGCTTTTCTCCCATTATCCACTTCACGGCGGCTTGGCTGTGATAGATAGCTAGCTAGTAACTGCTCTCTGTTAGCCAGCTGGTCGGTTAGCGAGCGAGCTACAACGTGAACATTTTGTGAGAAAAAAACGTAGAAACGCGTGAATTAAAAAAGACGTCGACGCTCGCCGCGCTGTCACTAAACACACGATACGGTTGAGTGTGTGAATGTATCTGACTCGGTTTTGAATTTTGAATAAAATGCCTGTTTATGTCCACTGGCAATAACACATCGTCCGTATCGCCGCCATCTTGCCCGGCATGAATAAATATGGCAGGGGGCCACTGGTAGCGGAGGGGACACAGACGTCACCGAGGGGACCGTGATCTCAGCGCGTGGGCCAGCAACACGGAGCACGAGCGAGCACCCGTCCCACGGCTCGTGACTGTGAGAGCATAGTTACCATCACGACTTTTTCCAGCTTAATACAGACATTATTATTTAGAGCTGGATGAGTATTACATCCTAATTTAAACCATGATGAAGTGACTTATTTTCACAATGAAAACAAGTACTACCAGCCTTTAATAAAAATAAGTTTATATAAATAGTTTGACACTTTATACAATTAATTAAATATTATTAAGCTTGTTCAACATGAGACAAACTGCACCAGGTGTTGATTTCCACTTAAATACACACATTTTCAGTCACATAATAAGGGCATAGCATACACATATTGCGACAGACAATTTAATCACACATATATATTACACTTATCTTACTGTTATACAATATTCATGGGGAAAATCATCACTTTCTGCATTGTAGCCTGCTGCAGTAACGCACAAATGACAAACACACATTAACAAAACATCTGCACATCTGTAAACTTGTTAAAACTTTCTTAACATCTATAAAAATGATTTAATAGTCATTACATGTTCAATAATCCCCCCTCTCTCTGACTGCATACCCTTGGTCATGTTGCAGATAGCAGAGTGTGTCAGTAGCGCAACACCTGTGTCCTAGATCTGGCATGTCTGTGTGAAATGCACACGCTTATTAATGTTGATTACACGTGTATGTGATAGGTGAAAGTGTCAGCTGTGAGAGAGGTACCGTATGTGGGCTGCACAGTGGCTCCCAGCAACCGCACAGATGTTCAGTTTACTGTGGTGTTCCAGTTTCAGATATAAATTGATATAAAAATAATCAATAAAATTCTTTAAAATCAATTTGAACTTGAAGTTTGTTTTGTTGTCTTTGTCTATCATTGTCTCACAATTTGCCCTCAGGGATCAATAAAGTATTTCTGACTCTGATTCTGATTCTGATTAAGTTATAGCCTAAATACTGATCTCAGATTGAAGCACTTGTAGCTGAAATGAATTGCCTAAAGAGCTGTATCACAATTTTATTTTATCTTTATTCAACTGTCTTGATAATGCTCAGTGAGTGAATGTATTGTACTGACACACAAGGCTCTGATAAACCTACAAACTTTGTCACAGACAACAAACAATAACTCCATGTTTTACTGCCACATAAACCTGTTGCCTTGCGAGTTGTTTTTAAGATACGATATTTTCAGCCCGATTTATGGAGCATAAACTTTACTTTTATGTGGAGTGTTTTGTCTTTTTAAACTCTGTTAGAATCGAGGCAATGGGACAAAACTGTACGGCAGCATTCCTTGGTGAATAATCTAATGAGACAGTTGTCCTCATTTAGGACTTTGATCCGTCCAGGTCCATTGATCCAGATGCAGGTCTAACAACAGGATGCATTTGTTATCTCTCACTCTGTGTGCAAGTGTGTGTGCACGCATGTGTGGTGTGTAAATATTTATGTGTCTATCAAAGGTCAGCTACTGTCTATACAAGGTTAACTAATTTCTAGAGGTGCTGACTCAGCAGCATTCACACCATTCTTAACTTAGCTCTTTTTATTCTTATTCTTAAACAACTTTTTTCAACTTCTTATACTTTATAAAGTATATATATAAATATATATAATAAAATATGAAGCTTTTTCAGCTTTGTAATGTAAAAACTTTTCAAATCCTCCTAAACCCACTCTATTTTGAAGTTCCACTACTTTCATCCACAGACTTCATTTAATCCTTTAACGAGTGACAAGACTTTGAAGTATAAAACTCCAAATCAGCTTCTTGAAATCTTTTACAGATTTTGAATTATCACAGTTTATGCATTTTGTTCTTTTCTTTAATCAGTCACCTTCTTCAGATGAACATACTCATCATTAATACATTTCAGCATTCAGCTTTTCCAATGCAGTGCCATTCACTCCCCTTCTTTTTATGCAACACATTTCAGCTCTCACTCATTGGGCAATGCATTTTATAGCTGATACTTTTTTTTTTTAACAATGCAATTCATCTGTCCATAAATACTGGACAGAATTATTCTTTCAGCATTTTAATGTAATTCATTTCCAGCTTTGGCATTGTTTCAGTTAACTTTCCAGCTTTTCCAGCAGTGCATTTCAGAGCTCAGCTTCTTCAGGTGATACAGTTCAGCTTCTAGCTAGGCCAGTTTGCATGCACCAACTCTAGCATCACTGAGTTAATCCCATGAGTCTTTTATAGCCTGACAAACTCATTTACTTTAGTGAAACCAACTTCATTTGCTTTGACCTTGAAAAACTTAATTAAGTTGAACCAACTTAATATTCATCCAAACTATTTAATTTGATACATTCTAACTTATTTATTTTAATTCCATCCAACTCAAAAATGTCAAAAGTGTTTTTGATTTTGACCAACATCTTAAAATAACTTGTCAACTGACTAAAATACGTTAATGAAGGAATTTTTTTAATATCAAAACTCTTCTTTATTTTGGTGTTATCCACTTACCCAATGAATCATTTTTTAGTGTACAGCCATCCGTCCATGGTCGTGCAAAGTACTATTGCAAATGACCAAAACCTGAAACATCAAATCAAATTGTCAGTAATGTTCTTTGATTTCCATTTTGGTTATATTCACACTTAAATGTCTTCCGTTCATCTACTCTGTGCAGACTAAAGGTGTGCACTGTGGTGACTTGCTACATGCTGTTTTTGTGTTATTTGTTGTTGTTGTGGGAGGATGTGTGCCCTTTGTGCAGACAGACAGTGCATTGCATTGTAATCTTTTACCTGTGACAGTAAACTTGAACTTAAACAAATACACATGCTTTAAAGATAAAAAACAAAAAAGTACCTAAAAGACATAAGACAAGACGTATCTAATCTCCTCTGGTTTTTAATAATGTATTGAGGGTGGCTGCAGTGAAATGTAAAATATTTTTTTAGGTTGTCGTGACTGCGTTTTTATTGACACAACAATCATTTAAATGTTAGGATGAGTGGATACTACAGAATAATGTGTTCACAGCTCAGAGTAAAAAAAAGATGTCCTCAGCTCATTCACAGACAATAGGCTAATTAGAGCCATATACGCCACCTTTAAAAAGTTTGGAACAACCTGTTATATCAATGTTTCTCTTCTTTCATTTAATAATGGCTACATTAACATAGATACAAACAGTACGATTCAGACACCAAATGTATAATTAACATTTAAATTATGTAGTTTTGGCCCCAAAAGAAGAACAGTCGATGTCCCCACAGTGTTGCATGATGGGTGAGAAGATCTTGGATTCTGAATTTATGTTCCAGTCCAGAAACGTGTAAGTGACCCTCGATCATTATTGAAATACAACGGTGCAAATGAGGCTCTAGATATTTTGGGAATTCATTTTTCTGAGTGCTCTGCAGTTCAGTCAGTGGTTGGATTGAACAGGTCTAAACTGTGATTTGTCAGTCCATAGTGTGTTCAGCTGACCTAACCTTTTATTTCTAATGTGCAGTTTGAAGAATAGCTTTGCTAAAGCAACATATCTGTTGATTCTGGCTTGTTTTAGGCTTTATTTTGCACTTCACACTGAAACAGAAACCTGGAACAGTAATGTAGTATATAAAATCCATACTTGATACGACCAGCACAATCACCACCTGACTTGCTACAAATGAGTCCATTAACTAAGTGTTTAATCAAGTATGCTCAAGTATCATAGATGCAATAAACTTGAAGAAAATTACACCTTTAAAATGTATTTTCTTATCTCTATCTGGACCTTTCTGTGATTCTGATTGGGCATTTATAATTAGATGAGGATGTGGTATCTGCAGTTAGATCAGCTGTGCAGAGGGAAACAATCCTCTTCCTGTTGAAAGTGACTCTGAAGGTCACGACATTCATATGAGAAGCTGAATCACTCGCTGTCATTGAAGAATCACCAACTGTCCCTCACAGAGGACAAGACACAGCAGGCTGCAAGTGACACAGACACTGCAGAGGGAACACGAGGTAAACAAGATGATCAACTCTAACTTCAGAGAGCTTTTTTATGAGTTTGTTGCTGCAGAAACTGGACAGATGTTAGAAGATAAAGAAAGATGGGGAAAATAAAGATTCGTGTTAACACTTTACATGAAGGTATCTACAACTATGACATGACACGGTCATGAACCTGTCATGAACATTATGTACATGTCATAAATGTTTATGACTGCTGTCATTAAGTGTAATTTGGTTTTTGTAATGACAAGTTGAAATTGTTTGGGTTGTCTTGATTATGACAACTTGACATTAATCAAAGTGACATTACCAGAGGCTGTCTTTGTCATCATGACAAGTTGACATTAAATTTGTTTGGGATGTCCTTATAATGACAACTTGACATTAACCAGGATGACATTACCAGAAGATGTCTTTGTCATAACAACATGACATTAACAAGAAATGCATCTCTTTTTGTGTTTATGACAAGTTGACATAATGATTATTATTGTTATGACAAAGACATCTTCTGGTAATGTCATCCTGGTTAATGTCAAGTTGTCATAATAAGGACATCCCAAACAAATTTAATGTCAACTTGTCATGACAAAGACAACTTCTGGTAATGTCACTTTAATTAAGTTGTCATAATCAAGACAACCCAAACAATGTCAACATGTCATTACAATAACCAAATGACACTTAATGACAGCAGTTATAAACATTTATGACATGTATATAATGTTCATGACTGGTTCATGACCGTGTCATGTCATAGCTATGACAGTGTCATGTCACTCTTATGTAGATACCTTCAAGTAAAGTGTTACTAGATTAATTATAATGTTCCTTCCCGGCACCTAAAAAGACAAAATAAGCCAAAGTGTCAGAATCTCTCGGTGAACTGACGGCAGCTCTTTGACTGTAAAACAGCAGAGCTGGTTATTGCTCCACAC